CAGTATTTCAGGCTACTTCTGCTGAATGCCATCTGCCAGCTATTCAGCAGTTTGATTCTTACCAGCTCAAGGTGGACTCATACTTCCATCCTTCAGAGGTCCGTAAAATGAGGACCTGGATTGTTGGGGTCAATATGCTGACTCTGTAAACTGCTTAGACAGGGCTATAAAGCACTGTCTAAGCAGTTAAATCTAAGTGCGATTGCCATTTTGTTTCTAACAATTTTAATCTTCAATTCATTTAGATGCTATTGTAGGATTTGATCTTCAATTTTTCTTTTTCCCATATGGAAGACTTCTTCAAGTCAACCAACTTCTTTTGTAAGTTCAGTAAAAAGTTCCTTTGGAGGTCAGTCTTTTGGTTTTTCATTTGTATTTCCACTTTAATTGTTTTCTCAGTCTTTTAATCCCCCCCCTTTTTTTTTTAAATTTTCAAGCATTTCTGCAAACTCGTCTGTGTTCATCTTTGATACAATAGTACTTGTCGTAATGGAATGTCCTCCTATTCATTCTGGCATAACTTCTTTCATTAGTCTATTTTGCAAATAAATAGATTATTGTGGGATGCACGGACTATGTTCATACATATTACTTTTGCTCAAATATGAATGTTACTCATGAATATTAAACAAGGATGGTTTTAGAGTTAATCGTCTTCTGTGTATTCTTCCATATCTTGTCTTATTCCAACAATAATTTTTATAATGCATTATTATTGTCATCTAATGTGAGTGCATATTTTGCATACAAGCCGATTTAAAAATACTCTAAACAAGCAAATAAATTATAAATAAATAGAATTAGAATTAAACAAAATAATCACTTGTATTTCTCTCTGTCCAAAGGCAGATATTTTCCCTGAGTATTATCCATTGCTAAAGTACAAATGGTTTAAACTCTGGAATGTTCAGTTTGGTTTTAAATGCTTTCAATTCTGAACACATCTTTTTTTAAAGACTTACCTCATTAATAAATACACATATTTTGAGAGTTTTCATTCTGGGAATGCCTCAATATCTGTATGTTTATTAATCAAATCTTTAAAGTAGGGAACCTAATTAAAATTCCACTACTTGAATCCAGAATTATTTCTGTCCATAGCAAACCATAATGTTTGATTTAGATACTAAGAGGAAAAAAAATGCAAGAAACGGAAGATATTAACTAATCAATTCATGATTTAGGTGAAACCTCTGGGAGGTCTCAGCACACAAAGTAAGAATAAAATTAATTAAACCCAAAGCTGCAAAGAATATTCATTGTGGAAAAGTGTCGCTTTTTATTGTTCACAAGCACTTAAGTCAAAAGATGAAAACTTTGGAAGGACCTCAGCTGGTTCCACATGGGAGATTAAAGGAGATAATAGTCTCTTAATGACTGAATGCTGTACAAGGTTCCTTTCTGCTTATACCCAAGTGGAAAGAGAAAATAAAAGGCACTTTTTAAGTGAACAATTTGTTTTTCAAAATGTCTGCTGGGCATGTGGGCAGCAACATCAGTTAAACGCTAGGCATGTATGTCTGTAAATACATATATCCCTTCTCACCCTATGGGTGTTATGTGTCTTCCTCAGTCTTGGGTCCTATACCAGAGATCTCTTGGGGAGTTTCAGGGTTCTATGCAATTTTTTGTTGTTGTTCCTAACACTAAACTCTTTTGGACAGAGAACTCCAGTGTTCTTGGGATCTGTTGGAGCCACTTTCTCAATTTAGTAACCACCGCAATGAATGGTCCTATCACCAATGGGATCACTTTGCTCTTTGCTTTCAAACATCCTCTACAGTTCCGCCTTCAGGCCCTCGTCTAGTTTCTCATCTTCTTTTTTTTTTCCTGATGTTGCTATCACTAAGTTCTGCTACATCTATCACCACCACTGACTTCTAGTCCTTGTCTACTACACAGTGCCTGGTCAATTGGCCACTACTTGCCTATCCATCTGAACCTGGAAGTTCTACAGCAGGGTATCAAACTCATGACCTGTGGGCTGGATGCGTCATGCATGGACCACCCCACCCCCGGCTTGGCGAAGGGGGAAAAGTTGCGATACGTCATGTGATGACAACATGACACTGAGAGTTTGACATCTCTTTTCTACAGGATCTTAGTCCTGTTTTTCTCCACATTATTCTGTGGAATCTCCCATCTGGACTTGAGAGGGTCTAATCCATTCACTTGCAGATATTCCTATACACAATGCCAACTGCTTGGTTATACTAATCACATGATCCTCAATTTATGACCATTCTTTCAGGGGCTATTCCAAATGATGAACAGTGCGGAAAGAAAGGAGTTTTGACCCCTGCCCAAAGTTACAGCCATTGCAATGCCCCTATAGTCACATGATCAAAGTTCAGGAACTAGGTAATGTGCCCAACATTACGACTATAGGGGGCACTGAAACTCACCCCTTGCCTAGCCCACCGGGATGTGCAAAGCTTCTGCAGCCTTGGAAATCCTGCTCTGCTTCCTGTTACTTCTCCCTCCTTTTTCCTGGCCAGAAAGCTAGTGAACTTGATGTTTCTATTCTTCCCCCCCCAAAGTTTTTTATTTTTATTTCTCATAAAGCATATATAAATGTACAATCTCTTTAACCATTCTTATCACACATATTATCTTTTGGTTTCCATATTGGTTCATTCTTCATCCTAAAAGTTTAAAATACATTTGGAGTTGCTCTTCTACCATTCCATATCTCCCTTCTTCCACAACAACCATTCCTCTCCTTCTCCCCTCTTACCCTTCCCTTCCTTCTTCTATTCCTTTCAACTTTCTTCTTTCCTCCTCTCCTTTCCCTTCTCTATTTCCCCTTCCTTTCCCTCCCCTTCCTCTCTTTCTAATCCTCTCTCTTACTCTTATTTCCCCTCCTTTCTTCCTCTCTTTCTTCTCTCTCTTTCTTTTCCTCCCTTTCTTCTCTCTCCTTCCTACCTATCTCTCTACTCCACTCTCCCTTCCTTCTCCATCGTTGTGTCCATTTTCAATTCAATATTTTATCAAAATGGTATTCGAGCAACCCCGATCTTATATTTACCCACATTTTCCTTTCAATATCATTTCTATTTTGCTGGTTGCACATATATCATGTTTCTATTCTTCAGAAACATACATTCATTAACTTTCTATGCAGAAAGCCAGCATGCAAAGCTAGAGAAAGGAAACTTAGATTCCGGAGATTTGAGTTACTTTTCTCCATGCATAGAGGGGAAGGTTGGGATGGGTGAGAGAAAAGAAGCTTGGATTTTCAGGATCCAAACTTAATTTCTCCAGCCAATCATGGAGTTACTTTCCATGCTCCCTTTGGCACGGAACTCTTTTGGTCTGTTTGTTTAACAAACACAACTAAGACAGCCAGGATTGCAGTTACTGAGTGAAGTGATCATGTGGACATCTCGGTTAACAACTGCAATGATTTACAACCAAAACCTGCGACCAAAATTCTGGACCTAATTGTAATCATAAATCTAGGATTGCCTGTGTGTTTTTCCTGCTATACCCTGTCACTAGGATTGGCTGAGACCTCTCTGCATAGTTTGCACATTGGGTAGACTCCTGCTTCTAAAATCTTTTCTTCGGCTGTTATGTGCCTTCCTGCTGTTTTAGTTTTTTTTAATCCAGCCCTTTCTATCTACTGATATGTGCGTGCATGCACACAAATACACAACATTTAGAAATATCATATAGTACAGCCTTTCTTCTTGCTTTGATTAGACAGCTTCTGGTTTCTTCTGTATGCTCTCTATGTGTATGTTCTTTTGAGACACTGAGCAGGCTTGTTTTTTTTAAAATTAAATCAGGCTAAAACTAGACTTTCAGTGGGCTTGTGTAGGCAAAATTGGGGAGCAGAATTTTCTGATGTCTTTCAGAAGTCACTCTTCCTTGCAACTTTGCACAGGCCAGGAAAGAACAGTTGTCGACAGGTAGCCAAGCCTGCGCTCCTTCAGGTAGAGGAGGGAACATGAGTTTAGCCATTGAAACTAATGATCCCTTTGTGGCTCTGTGCAGTCCTTCTTTTGGGATACTGGAGGAAGCTGACTGGATTAAACAAACTGGAATGTGAAAGTAGGAAATCTTAATCAAACACAAACTTAGAATAGAATAGAATTTTATTGGCCAAGCGTGATCGGACACACAAGGAATTTGTCTTGGTGCGTATGCTCTCAGTATACATAAAAGAAAAGATACGTTCGTCAAGAATCATAAGGTACAACACTTAATGATAGTCACAGGGTACAAATAAGCAATCAGCAATCAAATCATATTAGGGTTATAGCCTATAACGTATAGCTATCTTAAGATTTTACACTATTATCTGCTTTTATAATGATGCCACGTCTATTTCAAAGCATGGAACTAAAATAGCAGTTTATAAAATGGCAGTTTATTAAATTCTGCGTAGAATGCCTATTCTCAGTAGGTTAGTGATTATGCAGCTCATAATTTAAATCCATTTCCATCTGGTTTCAGGTCTTGATACAGAATTGAAACAGCTTTTATTATCTTGGTTAATTATCTTTACTGGGAGATTGCTACTGTATTGATTCTCCTGGACTTCTTCCCAGTCTTTGAGGTTCCTTTCGACCAGGAAATATTACTAGAATGACTCCATACAGTAATGCTTAGAAGTTTGTGAACCTTTTTGAATTTTCAATATTTCTTCATAGATAGGATCTAAAATGTGACCTATTCCCTCTCCCAAGTACTAAGACTAGATCAAGAGAGAACCCAATTAAACAAACGAGGAATATTATACTTGTTCATTTATTTACAGTATTGAAAAAAAGCAAAAACATATTAAGCAGAGTTGATGAAACTGTCTGATATGGTTATCAGAGCTATATGCACATTCTGTGATGCTGAAGAACCATATCAAACTGTATTTATTCAATATGATGAGCTGTAGAAAGAAAATATGGATGCTTTTAGGTAGCTTTATGTAAATCCAAACTTTCTGATAATGCAGAGGCACAGAATAAGCTGACAATACTTTTAAATAATTTCTATAGGTACTGAAGGCCTAGGATTTAGCATCACTTCAAGAGATGTTCCTATTGGTGGCTCAGCTCCAATTTATGTGAAAAATATCCTTCCAAGAGGCGCAGCTATTCAAGATGGAAGATTAAAGGCTGGAGACCGACTCATTGAGGTGATGAAATGTCACAATGCTATTGGGAATTTTATAAGTCCTTTTGGCAAGCATCTTACTTTTATATGAGTTATATAGCGATCCAATTAATTTTTTCCCCTCATCTCCTGTGCCAGGTTTCTAGAGTATTGTCTTCTGATTTTCATATTTTCAGGATAACAACTTTAATAAACAGGAATAACTTAGCTTGCTTTACAAAGAGCATTTGTCTCATTTTGTATATATATGGATGGGTGCATGGGCTTGATTCATAGAAAATAATTGGATATATTGACTGTTTTGGTAAAATGTCGCTGTATTTTTAATAGATTAACATAAGGAATAGTGCACTGCGGTGGAACAGTTTATGTGGGATAAGACACAAGGCTTTGTATCTCAGTTTAATTCTTATAAAAATATTTATAAAAGCTGGAGATATTGAATATTTTTTAAAGAAATATTCATTGCAACATTTTTTGGGAAAAATCATTCTTAGTTGCATAGAACAGCAGGAATTTGCCTGGTCTTAGAATTTGTATAATATCTGATAAGCATTTTTTGTAATGACACAAATTATATGTCTTTCAGCCTGGATCAAACTCTCTTGAGCTGTAGTTTTGAACAGATATCCTGGAGAGATGGAATGATTTGACCTTTACAGTTCATTGATAGAAAAGACATAGATTAGCATAACAAGGGACAAATAGTGAATGATGGTGAATTTGAGGAACAAATTTTAGATATAAAGCATTATTATGTATGTGTGGTCAGGAGTTAGTTTTTTTAAAAAAATGAATATAGGTAATAATCATAGTCTGTCAAAATAGAAATGCAGATAGATCTGTTTATTTACTGTTTTAAGGGGGATCTAATACTGTAATATTATTGTCATGTTTATGATATGACATTACTATAAAGTATGGCAACTACTTTTAATGCAGGAGGGTACTAATTTAATGGATTCATTTCTTTTCTTAGCAGTAGGCACAAAGAAAGACATAGAAAACAAAGAGGGAAAATATAAGAATGTTTAGTCCAGTTCTTTATGTAATAGTTTCAAAAAGTATGGACCACTTTAGAGAAATGTGTCTTAAAATATTAAGAAATTGGAAGAGGTCTGTAGCAAATTCTTCCCACGAATAAATTGTATCACACTTTGGTTCCATCAGAACTATTTATGTTAAACATTGAAGTATATCTTGTTTTTTAAAAAAGAAACTAGACATTCCAATTATTCTATGCCTTTGTAGGCACTATTTACAGTTATACTGCAACAATAGGAAGAATTCTTTATTAGAATGAAGTAAAGTCCATATACCTTCTCTATGTCCAAATAATTTTATGGCCTAATTCCTTTATTCACTTTTGAAAAATATTTTCTCCATTAGCAGCACATATTTTAAAATAAAATACAATCCTTATAAAGCACCATTAAAATTATCTAATAGAAAGATTGAATATACATTCAGATGTTTTTTCTGATTCGACACAGAAATATAACAAGGCATTGGTCAGGCAAACCTCCCCGGAGAGAATATTTCTCAGTCTGGAAGCTTGTTTCTCATATTATCATAATTCACATACATTAATGTTGAAAGTATTAATGTACAAATAGATTGATGGGAAAGCAGTTCATAGCTTAAAAGTTTTTAAAGTACATCATAAGTTTATATTGTTTTCAAAAATGGATCTTGATCCACTTCTTTTTTAAGTAACTAGCTTGTCCCTTAATTAACTGATTGACTTATATGCCTACCCCTTTTGTAAAACACAAGTCTGCACTGTTCATAACGACTTAAAAAAACAAATAAGAAAAACGACAAACTAATTGGGTGCCTTATCCATCATCTTGAATCCATAAATCTATACAGTCCTAGGCTCCAAACCAGGGGCGAAATGTTCCTGGTTCAGACCGATTCAGCTGAACCGGTAGTGATGGCGGCCAGTGGTTCAGAGAACCGGCACCAATGGCTGCGCGAGGCTCTGCCCACCCGCCTGGTTGTCGTTACTTCCTGGTTTTTAACCAAGAAGTAACCTGTTTTTTTATTCTCTGCTCATGCTCAGAAGGATTTGTGCATGCGCAGAGAGTCTACACGTGCACATGACACACACACGTGATGCACGCATATGTGCACGGCTCGTGCACTTCCGAACCAGTTGGGAAGGTAAGTAGATTTCACCCCTGCTCCAAACATACACTGTCCCAGTATTTAGGAACAAATACTTAACTGAAAAACTATTCTTAATAGTTTTCTGTAAAGAGAAAAGGTTTGGGGCAGGGGGCTGCTTTATCCTGCTGTAAGGATGTTCCTCAGAGCAGACACTACTATGAAAACTATTTTAAGTTCCGGCGGTGACGTAGGGCTGTGGCGGCACAGGAGAGAAGCGCTCTCTTTCTGTTGCCGGTTTTCTGAGCTTTTGGTGCCTTTTTTGGCGAAGACCGATCCTGGAGAGATTGGGAATAAAGAGGGGAAACTTCGGGGGAGGCGAGGAGAGGTGCGATCTCCCGCTGTACCGAGAAGATCTCTCAATCCAGGCTCGGGAAGAAGCTAGTTGGCGCGGCGAGTGCAGCTGGCCCGGAGGTCCGACGAGCCGATAGAGACCATCGGGAGCGGAGGAGTGAGTACAGTGCAAGATTGCTGAGGGTGAGCAGAAAGCGAGGATCGTTATTTTGGAGTTATTGGGCGCAAAATTGAGGAGGAAATATTTTTCCGGAGGAGCAGCACGGAAAGAGAAGATCTCAGAGCATAACGGGGTGGCAACTGAAGAGGCGAGCAGAAAGGAAGAGGACGGGACGTAAATAAACGGAGAAAGACTCTAAAATAGCGAAAATGAAGGTGAGGAGAAGTGGATTTAAAGTGAAGAGATTTAAAGAAAAACAAACATTCTTCTTTGTATCCTCCCTTTTTTCTTGGCTGCTCTAACGGAAGGAGAGAGGTAGTTTGGCAAAGAAAAAACTGCGGACTGTGACTGTGCAGATTGGAGATCGCCATATTGAAATAGGGAAAGATTCCAGCGAAAAAAAAAGAAACGAGTTGCACCTCTTCTTTGTTGAATATATGACGAAAAAGACTCTTAGAAGTCATAGAAAACTGAAAATATTTTACTCCTATACAAGCCTCTTTTCTTTAAACATAAATAATTGCTATTGCTATTGCTATTTATTGGAATTGATTAAGAATTGATTAAGAACTATAGTGATACTTGTTGTTTATTAATAAATAAATTAGTATAGAATAAATTAGGATTTATAATAACTGTACAGCTACAGAAGTAAGTAGTGGGAAGTAATTGATTTTGTAACAGTGTATATATACATACAAAAACATATTCGTGATTTTATGTAATTTAAGCAATATAATTATTAATTATTATTTATTGAACTAAACACTAGGCAGTAAGAATTGATTAATTGAATAAGTCTGTGACTATCTAATTTATATATATATATATATTTATATTTATTTATATCTATATTTATACTAATTACTTAGATTAACTTATATTAATATCTATACTGTAATATCTATATTATATTTAAATTTATATTTTTATTGCATTTCTTAAGAAGTATTTTAGAAGAGATAATTAATCAGTTAAAGGAATCTTACTTAAAGAAAATAGATAAAGTGAATGAGAGATTAGTGAATTGAATCTTTATAAGGGAAAAGGAAAGGGAAAGAAAGAAATTACACAAAAGTTGGATGGTGATTTGGGAGAAAGTTGATAAAATACTGGTGGAACAATATAGAATTCTGAAAGAGATGACGAGTACTACTACGACAACGTTGAAGACAGCCAAGAAAACGACATCAATTTTAGCTGGACCATTGGCCTCACCAGTATCACAGAAAACTCTGGAGAGAATGTTTGCATCAGAGAAACAATCCAGTACACCCAGTTTGCCAACAATGCAAGCTACTTTAATGACAATCCAAGAAACAATGGTTAAAATGCAAGAATGCATGACCAGAAACCATGAACAATCTAGAAAAGATATGGATGAGGTAAAGAGAGAAGTTAAGAACGACATTCAAAAGATTGATGAAAAAATGGACCTGATCCAAGAAATTATTCAAAGAAATGATCAAAAGATAAAAGAAATAGAACAAAAAACTGAATTGACAGAAGAAAAGTTGGAAGCTTTGGACACAAAAATGACGGGACTAAATAAAGAGCTCGAGAACACAGTAGCCCATGGAAAATGGAAAAGGTGGCATTCTTTCTGCGTTTCCAAAATGTAGCTGAAGAAAGAGAAGAAGATTTGACGATGATAATGGCGGAGATGATAGCGGAGGCTTTCCAAAGAGAAAGGGAAGAAATAATAAATGAATTAGATGAAGTGTACCGGGTTCACACAAACTACGCCCGACAACACAAACTTCCTCGGGAGGTACACATAAGATTTGTTAGAAGAAAGGTGAGGGATATCGTGTACAAAATAACAAGGGATGAACCCATGCTTTATAAGAACAAAGAAATAATAACTCTGAAACAAATTCCTAAACGAATAAGAGACTTGCGAAAAATTACTGGTTCCTGGCCACATTGCTAAATAGGAGATATATACCCTTCAGATGGACGACACCCGAAGGAATGTTGGTAACATGGCAGGGAAGGAAAATAAAGGTGGATTCGCAGAGTAAAGCAAGGGAACTATACGATCAAATGACGAGCAGTGAGATAACAAATGACAGCAAAGAGGAGGGAGGAAGAAATATCAAAGGAAAACAGAGACAGGAACATGAAAGAACCCCACCACAGGGAGGAAAAGAAGAGGAAGGAGAGACTCAGGAGGAAGGAGGAGTACAAACAAGAGGGGGGGGGAAAGGAATTAGAAGAAACAAAGAAGAAACAACAGGAAAGTCAGTAAGATATGGAAAGAACCCTAAGAATTCTATCAGTAAATGTAAATGGTCTCAACTCACCATCTAAATGACACCAAATTTTCAAAAAGATTCTAAAACAAAAATCTGATATAGTATGCCTCCAGGAGGTATACATAAGAAAACAAGATATAA